TTTTCGACCCGCCCTCGTCTCTCACCATCCTGCCACTCCATTATTGGTGTAGCTGAACCCACGACGGGTTTAACAGATCTTTTACTGCTTTTACATACTTACCGTAATTATGCCAGAGTCTAAATTTGTACGTTTACTATTTAATCAAATACGCTCTAAATAGTATATTTTAAATAAGATTTGTTTACATTTCATAAAAATCATAAAATATTTACATCAAACCAATATGTAACATACTTATTACCTGCAGATTAGAAACAGTAAAAAACCGAATTCCAGTTTTTTAAATAAATCAAAATTATAGAAACAACTGAAATAAATACGTTTTTCAGTTCCATTATTTGTTATTTTCCTGATGACTTGAATATTATTCCTTTATTACTGATCCGCCAGTACACAAGTAAGTAGAGAGAGAGAACAGGAAACTATGCTCGTTGCTCTATTTTTATTTTTATAACACAATTTAAACACACAATTAAGGCATTCTAAATTTAAGAATGATTCAAGTAAAACTTTATTTCCTACATAAAAAATTTAAAAAACATCCGTGACTAAATTCTAGTTAGTTATGGCAGAGTCTGACTCACCTAACCAACTAGTTATTCGATGCATAGTACAAAATACGATACATAAATTTTCTTGATCCTTACGATTCTTATAAGGTCCTACACCCGGTCGTGTAATCCCTTTATAACCTTCGAAATTAAAGTTATAATCGCGATGTGAATCAGTGACCCATAAATTTACTCCAGTTTGGACTGGATCGTGATCTAGGAAAGAAAAAAATTCTACAATAACTTGGGGCAAGATGAGTTTTAAGCAAAGCAACTCGTAAAATAAAGAGACTATTCACCAGACGGAACGAGAACATTGTGAATGGTTATTTAGGTCACCGAACTCGACTCATCCTACTTCGGAGATAGAACGGCGACCCGATTTTCGGTTATTAACTGAAATAACGTTTACTACAGATAAAAGGATACAAAATTACAGCTGATGTATTCGCGTACCGTTAAAGGGGATGCGAGAAAACACCAGTAAAAAAAAAATGATGATCAAAAAACTTTTATTGAAAAAAACACTTTCCTTAATTTCATTCCCCCTTCAAACCACATCAGTAAGAGATAAAAGGGATGAGAAAACATCCACTATTTAGAATGTCCACTTTCGAAATAGTTTGTTTTCCCCCGAAAGATAGTGTTACTTACTGTGTATAAAGTACATATTTCATAAATCACACTAATCTGTTCTTTTCGTTGTCGTTCGATCAAACGTCTTTCAACTCTTCGGGGAGGGCATTCTTGGGATGTTTGTTTTCGAAGTGCTGTTTGTAGGTTTTGGGATCGGGCATCTGGGCCTGTATTTAAGATAAAGAATCAAATTTAACTGATTTTTAACAAAGAAAAACAGACAAGTCAAGCTCGACTACTTACTTTACAAACGGTACAAGTATGGAGTAGAGCTTTCTGCGCTGCTGCTTTCTGATCGTGTCCTTGCGATCTCTTGTGTTCTTGGGCTTTCTTCGCAGCCTTCTGTTGAGACTGGATTTTCTGCTGTCCTCTAGCCATTTCTCGATCCTTATTGCAAGATATAAAATCTATTTTAAAAAAACTGCCATATTTTAAAAATTTTATCACACTGCGTGGAATAATAAATATAAAATTACATTAAAACTAGACTACCAGTAATATGACCCGATAAATAAACTAATATGCGCTAAATTTAGATGAGATAGTCAACGTGCACAGGGAAGACCTGTTGTAAAGTAAGCTTAACTTTTAAGGAAAATGTCAACCTTTATTCTACATATATTATATATACACCGTACTTACTCGAATGTAAAACTCATTTTTTCAGGTTTTAGTATCTATGAAAATAGGATGCGCCTTCGATTCGATATAATACGTCATAATTAGCGATCTCTAGTGCCACGTGCCTCATCTCTCGTCAGTAATTCCATTACGTTATTTTAGTGGTTTTATTACACCAATATTCGTAATTGTAAATAAATTGTAAAGGTAACTTAGCTAAATCTCGTTTAATACTATTAAAATAACGTCACAATTACTTGAACAAATATCACAGAGAATGTTGTGCAGCACTCAAGAAATGCTGCATTTCCAATGCTTCACGCCACAGTAAGGGTGTGACTGCACGTGTGAAAATGTGAGCTTGGAATGCAGTGTTCATTGAGAAGAGCTTAACACGGATAGTGAACATTTCCAATTTCAAAACCACAGAAGACATTGCTATTTATTGCACAGTAACTTAACTTTGCTGTACAATAAATAACGAATAATTTGTATGCTGAAATTACATTACATTGAACTGATTGCAATATTTTCTGATTATTTAATATACAGCACCAATTACTTAAGGTTATATATGGCTGTAACTGCTGCAAAGTGGATGTGACTGACAATAGGATCAATCAGCATAGATAAGGATGAAAAATGACATCTTTACTTGTATTACTGAAACTACAAGTAGAAGATTCTGAATCTTAATTGAATCCAAAATCACTACAACAGTAAGTTGAAACTTCATCATGCATCCATCTTATCTTTTCCTTTATATTGCATTATTCCAAAAAGTGAAAGCAGATTTCTAAAATGAGATTTCACTGCTAACTTCGAGGAATAAGTGGAAAGTTGACGAGTGTTTTTGGAAATTTTTCATTAAAAATAAAAATTATTAGTTAAAGTTATACATTGATAAATAGCTTGACATCATTTATCAGAAATTCAATTTAAGAAGTTTTATAAATCACTTTTCTCAACTCAATATAGATTGCAAACTGATAAATTTTCCAAATTTTTTTTTTAAAAGGATTGGTATAAAAATAAAATTTCATACAATTCTTTTAAGTAAAAAATATTTAATGATGGAATAAAAAATAGAAATGTTTAAACAATTCGATATACGGTACCTCTTCATAAGAATTATAAAGAACAATGTGGTAAATTTCACATTTTATGAAAAATATTAGAAAGAAAAAGTATACTACTGAAGGAGTCAAAATATTCTTTCTAATGTGTACATACGAAGTTGTTTCTTCCTCTTTTGTGTTTGAACATAAGTGCTAAAAACAATGACAAGTATTACTCATGAATTTACATAATAGTGATTTTGCTCAAACAAAAGCAATAGAGTACTGTATATTTAAATTTGTGTAAAATTTGGATGTGAATAAAAAAATAGTGTGTTCTGGTTCACAAAATATTCCTGCAATTCCATTCTTCATACTTCACTTCCTACCTTGAATCAAGTTTTTATTTTATTTTAAACCAATCCTTACAATTTAATTATGCTAACTTTTTGTTAACAATTCTAAAATTAAATTTTAACATTTATAAATAATTATGTATTTTGACAGATTTATATTAAGGTTAATTAATAATCATATTCAAAGTAATTTGGCTAGAGACAGATGGTTAAGCACCATCTCATGATAAATTTAATAATAATAAATAAATTTTATAATTATAGAAGTATCATAGAAGAAAAGAATTGGCTCAGAATAAGATCAAAATGTACAGTAATGATGCAATGTTTATATGTACATTAATTAATAACTTTGGAAGCAACGAAAATACAGAGCAATGTTTAAGACAAGCAGAAAGTCTTACCTCCAAAAACCTCTAATTAGAATAGAAAATACCTCTTAAAAAAGCTTCTAAATTGTTATGTTTAAAAAAAAAATGTATAAACAACCTAAATAATAGCAGGATGTGTTTCAAAAATACAAAACTAGCAATTTTCACATATAGTAGCACGATTTTATTTGCACAAAAATATGATAAATGCCATAATTGTATTCTGTATACATAGTTGGAAACAAAGTTTCAAATCAAATAGAGAGATAAATGGAATTATTTTGGTTTTAATTCAACAGTTTCATCTTTAAAAGTTTTAGTTTGTAAATAGAAATATTATTGTGAATTTCAAGTAACAGTTTACTTAAGGAAAGTCAACTTGTTAGTGGCTGTATGAAATTGGGTCTTCTCTGAGGTCTGTAAAATCAAGAGAATAGTTAAATTCCAATAAATTTCTCAAATTCAGTATTGCCCTAACATCATGATGTATGTAACTATTATCATTAATGATTAAAAAGTGTAACTGCTATGCTGTGTGTATTTTGAACAAAGTAAACTGACTTTCTATTTTATTATTTTAAAATCAAATATTTCACACATACGTAAGTTGAGGACCCATTGTTTTCCTCAACTTATCTTAAAGTAGAGGTGTTAGGTAATTTAACACTCTTTACTTTAATCAAGTGACAAGAATAATCTATCATAAAATCAAATTTTTAAATATAGAGCCTGAATGCTTTTTATTTTAATATCTGATGGACATGAATAAGTACAGCAAAATAGATTCAGAAGAAAACATCCTTTTGTGACAAAAAATAAAAACTTCCCTTAAAACTAAATTTGTAGTTTCATAAAAATACATTAAAAATAATTTAGAAAATTATGATTGTTAACAAAACTTATGCAAATAATTAAGAAATGATAATTTCTTTAGGTCATAAATTAAAATTTATAAAATAATCAAAATTATATTGATAAATAAAAACAAACCTTGAGATAGCAGATAAAAAAAAAACCATCTAATTTGATAACTGCACAGAAATCAGAGAATACAAACATACTGAATACCATATTAAACACTTCATACCAGTAGTTAATTTGATGTAAAAACAACTTTTAATTACTTTTAATGACCGTTTTAAGGTTCTGATTGCTAAAAGTGACAAGTGATTAAAGAATTTTTATATTAATTGAACTGCTGTATGAAAGAAAGAAATTTATTTTGTTGGATTTTTTTTTTATTTCAATGAAAAAAAACTGTTTTAAAAAAGTTTTAGACAATTATTTTGAAAAAAATTATTAATAAGCACAAATTTTTATACAAAATAATCCTGGAATATATAATAACCATATCCAGGTTATTCTGGTTTCAATTAATGCAGTTCTAAGTTATTGTGGTTATTAATTCAATACAGTAATACCCCGAACTTATGTGATAGGTGGGACCGAGAGATAACCATGTAAGTCAGGATATAATTTCGCAATTTGTGTAAAATCCAAGTGGGATGTATGTAAGCTAATAAATGTTCTCGTTAATCTTATCCCGTCTTTTGATTCATTCATGATTACAAGAAATCACCACATAGAGTCTCTCAAGACTCTGTAAATATAACAAACACAGAAATAAATAACACAAAATAAATTGTAGCTATGTGTCGATTCCGCACGACATGTCCGAACACATAAGCTGAACAATAGTGTGGGGGGAGTGAGTAATCAAGAGTTGAGTGGCGCTCAAACAAAAGACGAATCAACGAGATTTGAAAATCGCCTAACTCCAGGTTTGTGTAAGTTGAGGTATTACTATAATTAAAATCCTGATTAATAACTTCAGGGTTTGGAGCGATGCAGACTTTTTATGTCAACTAAAAAGTTTCCTTTAATCCTTTTTACTCAAAATATGAAATGTTGAGTTACTGTTATTTTAATGATTTCAGAATGCAATATATTTTAACATTCAATCCATTTTGTTCTTCCACTTAACACATGTAGAACTAAAAAATCATTTTTTGTGACCATTTCAAGACTACAAAGGATTTCAACAATGCTTATTAGCAATATGTAAAGATTTATCATGACATCCCGAATAGTTATTCAATGATTTTTTTGTGATTTCTGCCTGTAATTTTTCTTCAACTACTTTTGAAACATACTGGGAAAGCACCCAGTATATTTTGGGAAAATTTTATCCTAAAAAAAAAAACATTGCTCTTGAAAACAACAATAAAGCATGGAGAGAAGTTACAACAACATGAGAACTGTTCGGCAAAAATTTATTCCTCAACATGCAAATGACTTCAAGGATTTAATTCTGAAATTAAATGGTTCCATAGACACTGTGTGACTCACATAGGATCTAAGATTAACTAGAATAGGTAAGAAAGATGTTCAATTGTGGTAGTCCCTTCATAATGATTGTACTGGTGAAGAACTTATTAATCTAGATGTAGAATGAGCACACAAATAGCATTAGAAATGATAAAATTAAGACAACAATTCAGGAATTCATATTAAAAAAATTGATGAAATATTTCATGTCTGTAAATATCTTAGACAAAAAATAATGGATAATGATCCTAATGCTGAACATTCAATGAAGAACACAAAGAAATAGAAAATGTCTCCTACATTATTTTCAAAAAAACAAAAAAAAAAAAATAATGTTTTTGTTTATAATAGTTTTAAAACTAAAAGCTGAACTTAATTTATTACTTTCTTCCTTTAAAGTATTTACAGTATGTTAAATTATAAGACCACTATATTTTTACTAACAATGTTGTAATAAATTAAAATTAAACATTGTTAGTTTACTACAAAAACTAACAATGTTTACTCACACCTCGACACAAAAACCTTTAAAAATGCAGCCTTTTAATTCATTTTTCTAATGTTTTCGGCCAGTTTTAATGGCCTTCCTCAGGAACAGAAAAATCTAATGATTCCAATTTCTATAATGACATTTGTTTTGGAACATTTTAAACTTTGAATTTTCTTAAATGTCTATTGCAAAGGCTTGTAGACAAAGAATTACAAATAAACTATACATACATATAATACATAAATACATAAGTGAATAAATACAAAAATAAATTAAAACAACTGCAATATAGAGAAGACCACCATTTCTGTTCCTGAGGAAGGCCATTCAAACTGGCCAAAAACATTATAAAAGTGAATTAAAAGGCTGCATTTTTAAAGGTTTTTGTGTTGAGGTGCAAGTATTAGTTGAGTACAGTTAGAAAAGAGTGTAACAATGTTTAATGGTAAATTATTATTCTCAACAATACAACAATGAGCAATTATTTATTGTGGTATTGTCACAATACCGGGCTGCAATTTTTAATCATATTTTTAATTTATTTAATTTAAAATATATGCTCTCCATCTCAAATTAGTACTGTACTGTCTTGCACCTGTACATCATACTTTTCCATCAGCAATGGAGTTGAGCCAATCATCTATCTAGCATCTTTCAGGGGAGATTTTTGAATTGAAATAACATGACTTCCGGCTTGCATCTGAAGTTCACATATAGTTAATTGGGACCTCCTGTCCCTATGCTTTCCACATCCAGTCTTGAATTTCATTTATCTAACAACAATAGTGGGAATTTGTAGGTCAACAATTTCTTCAAATTGCAACCCAATCATTAGTTCAACAATCTTAATTCATTTTATTTAGTTATTTTGCAAAAGTCAAATTTTCACTGTTAATAAATTATGAGACCATCATGAAAACAAAGATTTAGAAGTAACTTTTTGTTGATTAATATCTGATTGTTGCTCAATTTCTTCAATCACTGCAAATAGCCTGTGGCATGGTTCCTACAATTTTTTTCAGTAGGTCATTGTCAATATTATCCCACTGGCACATAATTGCCCATTCAAATTCATGAACACTTGAAAATCGGCAATTGTTTCTGTATACCTTCTGATTTAAAATAATCAAAAAGGTTTTCAATGGGATTGAAGTCAGGAGTTCTTGATCCAATGTAAAACATTAATTTTCTTTGTCTTAAGCCAGTCTTGAGTTGCCTTTGAGTTATGGCAGGAGGCATTATCTTGTTGGTAGTACCATTTTCTTCCTCTAAAATGTGATCTAATGTGGGAGTAAATGTTTTTCCAATAATGCCATATAATTTTCAGATTTTAATTTAATGCTAACTTTAACAAAAACAAGTTTAGCATCATAACAGAGCTGCCACCCATTTGTCTACTAAAAAAATCCATAGGTGCCATAGTTGCACAAATCATGCTAATATGTATTATTACCATCTGGTCTTACAAGACTGAACTTTGTTTCATCTGAAAACACCAGACTTTCCACTCTTTGATCTATAATATATATACTTTTTGGTCTATTCTAATGTTGCTTGTTACTCATCCTTTAGTTTTCCAAGGATTCATATATGAAACTTTTGTCCCAATTTCACATTAAATCTCTTGTTCTGTTGAGTTGCCAGATCAAAAAAAGCCTGTAATCGCTTGAGGACATTGATAAAATTTTCCCTGAAAGAAGGGATTAAACTATTTTCTCACAGTGGTCTCAATTTATTAATTTGTTAACAGACTATACAGTACATAAATATCTAAAATATTTAATATTTAAAATTTCAAGCATAATTTGGAAAATTCTTGGCAAAAGGCATCAAAGATGCAGAATTTGTCCAAATATGAAAATGAGTTTAAAGAAAAAAAACAATCCACAAAAATACTGTCAGTAAATTATAAAAAAAACCATAGAATGTGTCACAAAATTCCACCAAAAATGACACAAAATTATGCTTTATCTATTACAGAATATCTGACATATTTAATAGCTAATGGAGTGGACATGGATGCAATACAGAGTGGCCTAATCAAAGTTCAGATTTAAACAGTAAATGATAATTTGGTTTTGGAGTGTAGTGAAATAAAATAGGTACTGGAGACTGCTTTCTGCAGTGATGATTGGAAGTCACAATGTCCAGAATAATACAGACAAAATTTGTGCAAAGAATGGATAGGAAACAAAAAATTAACTAAAATGAATGGAGACTGTTATTAACTACACATCAACTCACTCATTTCACTAGCAATAAACAAAACTTTTTTTCATTCTCAAGATCACCACTATGCTATTTCAATATCCATATGAATATGACAAAATCAGTTGCATCCAACAACAAAAAAGACCTTGAAGAGTAAATAGTGACTAAATATTCTGTAGTGATTCTTTTGCCTGCATATAGTTCTATTTTAGTTCCTTTGCATCCTCTTTGATATCTATATTAAATCTACAGAACTTTCAAGTGAATAATAGGCATGCGTGTCTAATAAATTATTGACTGCAAACATAATTTTGCAAATGTGCTTATATATAGAACATTCACAGGAGAGTATTGGGGAGTTGATAAATTTGCCACTCTAATACTATATAGTGCCATCATAAAATAAACAAAGCATGAAATAAAGAGACAAGTATTTTGTAGCCACTAAACAGAATTTCACGATGATGATGTATGGTTCTTGTACAAGGCAGAAGGATGTTGCACAAACATAGCACATGGAGGACATTTATAACAAAATAGTTTGTTTAAAATATCTGTTGACTCAATGTAAGTTATAAAACATTAAATAGACTATAAGATATTAATAATACTAATAAATTATAACTAGGAACAACAAAAACCAAATTTATAGCGTTTTAACTTGACATTTAGAACTATTACCCACCATTGTCCTACATCACATCATCCTAATAGAGTTCCTAAATATTAATTTCTTATCCGACTCCGATTAAAGAAGCGTCTTTTGTCTTTTTTACTCATTATACAGTAATGGAAAGAGAAACTATTACATCACAATTAGAACGTTGCCTGTCAGAAATAATAAAGCAAAGTTAAAGAAAAAAAAACATTAAAATTCTACCCAAAAGGAGAACATTAATAATAGAGGACGGAAGGACAATACAGTTCGATAAAGAGCAATCGGCATCCATATACGGTTCCGAAGAAACTGAAATAATCCGTAAAAATGCTCGACCAGTAAATCAAACAAACCTTAATAGAAATTTATGTATAAGATTTATTTTTATAAAACTAAATCATTGCAAAAAGAATTAAAGATTAATTCTTTTACATTTATGACCCAATCTATTATGTTTAATGGTTAATAAAGTTAAATTAATCAAAACACCAATGACTTCCTTCATTACATCAAGCCCATTTCCTTAATATAGGAAGCTGAAAAATACAAAATTAATGCAACCTTTACCTTAAATTCACTAGAAAGTAATCCAGAATGACTTTGTAATAATAATTCTCCTGTATATTCTGCAATAATTTAATGTAATGCATTATTTAAGCCATTTTGACTTTAACTCAATCATAAGAAAGAATACATGCACGAAATACGAGGAATAATTTACACAAATAGCCGCCTTTTTAAACTATTTTTAGTTTAAAACAAAAGCTATTTATTAAATCAAACCTTCGAGTTATTTTTGACTTGTTTTGAAAGCAAAAGATCAACCCTCGGTTAAAACCAACGAAATATTAGCTTTATAATCAAATATAACAATTATATCATATATTAAATACGTAAATTAACACTTACGTCAAATTATTATAAGCAGAATTAATTAATAAAGTAATTTTATAATCGAAAATATCGTTTACGAAGTTTCCTCGAAAACACTTTAATCCTAAATCGTTTGGTTTTTCTTGGTCAGAGACCTCTACGGGAAAACATTTTTATCCAAAAAAAAAATTAATTAATTAATTTTAAAAATCTTTTCTTATTTATTTTTTAATTACTATTGTAAATTAATTATTTTATTTTTAATTTAAAAATTAATAAATTATATTATCTTTGTTTAGGGTCCGTTTTCCTGAATACGAATCAATGTGTTGTTTTCGTTAAATTATAACTAGAATGATTAGTACATTAAAAGTATATTGTAGTCTATATATTTTTAAGACAATTGTATGGAGCTTGATAACTGTTTTGATTTTTCTATCTCTTAGTTAAATGGAGTATCAGCATTTCCGACCGAAAATTTACTGCTTGGCCTTACGTGGGGAGCGGGGAATAACACTTTCCGGGAGGTCTTTTAAAGATAATTGATCCCTTTTAAAGCGTTACAGACGCAGAGAAAACTCGGAAAACCCTATGTGACCAGTCCGTCCTGGCCAGGGACGAACCCACGACTGAATTCCCAGTGGTCAGGGAACGGAACCGTTTGGCTACCGGTGAGTCGAGCGTGATAACCTATGGATATAATATGAGTCTTGATCTATCACCAAGGAAATGCCTACTAGAGAACATTGAACATAGATAAAACCAATATACAAAAAGTAATTAATTTCTCTTCTCGAATTCCGATACGAATAACCTGTTTCAGTCAGAACATCCGGCTGGTAAGAGAAGAAGCCCGACATATCTGGGACCTACCGTTCAAGAAAACTTTTTGAGGAAATGTTCACTCGGATTCGACCCTAGGTTCCCAGTGCGATAGGCTGACGCCTAAACCTCCTCGGTTATCAGTCCTTCAAAAAACATCTGTATCTCATACGAAATTCCTAATAATGTTTTAATTAAGCAACGTTAACTTATAAATGTTTGGAAAAAAACAAATATATATATAATCCGAGATGTTCTTTTTTAACTCTGTAAATGTTCAATTGAAATAATTGAATGTGTCAGCACTAAGTTTTGGCTCTGTGAAGGACTTATCACACGCTATTGACGCAGCCGGGAAAATCGCACAGAAATTGATGAACACTGGTTTATTATAACGACGGTATGCATTTCGGACAGTCTATCTAACCCGTAAATGTTATTTATGTAACTTGGCTGGATGGCAAAAAGGTTAATTAAGGTCGATAAATTACTGGTCCGGGGAATCCAGAATGGGTACACTACAACTGGGCGACGAACAACTAGGCGGTACTTAATTACAGTATCGTTTTTTTAACTCATTTAATTAGGTCGTTTTTTAAAAAAGTAGTATTTAAATTTACCGGGATAAATATTTAAAAAATGGTGATTTTATAAAAAAAATTTTAAAAGTTTGTATTCAGTCCATTATTTATCTCTTATTTTGTCGCTCAGATGTCCGGCGCCCATTTGGCGGTATCCCGTCCAGAATCGAATCCGGACGGGTTGAAAAATTCCAGGAAATTTTCCAGCGATAATCTATCCGGGTATGCCAGGCCCAACTCTTACCAACCATTGTGGGCCAGGCGGAATACATAATAGTCTTGCTAAAAGAAACACCTTTTAGTGCCAACAAAGCGGAATGAGTTTTGAAAAATGTTATTTATTGTGTATTTTCTCTAGGTTTTCAAAATTATCACATAGAGAAAATATGAATAAACTCAAGGTTAATGTTGCTTTTTTAAAAACTCTTTCCGCTTTTCCCCCTTTCTTAAACTCTTTCCGACCCGTGGACATTAAAAGGCCTCATTTAGCAAGCCCATTATGGGTTCGGCCAGGCCGACGTTGGGGCGTCCGGGTGGTGAGAGACGACTGCCGACATATCCAGTCGGATTACACCCGAAAAATTTTCAAGAATTTTTTTGACCCTACTTATATTCTACAAAAAAAAAAAAAAACACAAAAACACTACTTCCAGAGCGGTAGTTTGTTACCTTGACCGCTCGGCCATCCGGCCGTCTACTTTAAATTTTGATCTTACCTTCTTAAATAAAATTTTAAAAAATAGCTAAATTCAAGACGAAACAATCTAGATTTATATCACTTATCTAATTGCCTAAATCTCAAATCTAGGAGCAGAACAAAGCAACTAGATTTAGATGAAGAAAATAGATTTTAAAGTGACAATCCTTCACAAAACATGGTAGAGACTTCGATGTTTTGACTAAAAACAAAATGGAGGTCCAAAGTAATTGTCGTTGCCCTTAAGAGCGCTATACCTAAAGTGACAGCCACTCTATGTAGTATATTCTATCTCGTTGATCATTGAATTTACTTGCCGATATTTTATCAATGTAATCGGCTATTTTCGGGCTACTTTCGCCATTTTACCGTTGGCTACTCTCATGTAATAGAAGTTGGCAACGTGATACTAAATTTGTAAAAATGAAACAGAGAGAAGAATCAATTAAAGAAATTTCATATTTTATAGACTCTATAGAAAATCGTTTGCAGAATTTTATGAAACACGTAGGATGGTCTCGTTTAGGGAAAGAGGTAGAAAAATATTTTATCGAGTTTTATATTGATTATAATTAAAACTCCAAATGACGATAACGTTGTGTTTTAAGTAGTTGTTACCATCATTTCGACGCCATGTTTGATTTATAAGAAACGATGCGCGCCACATTAATGTCTTTACTTTTTTAATTACCCGATTGATTTTTCCTTTTCGTCTGTTACTATTATTTATAATAAAAATGCCAATTACGTTAAATATAACTGGTATTTTTATTGCAGATGGATTTTGGGACTTGTACGCAACGCGAACATCGGCTCTACCGAATCAAACATGGCGTCGAAATGATGATTACTTATACTTAAAACTCGGTACCATCTTGTTTGGCGGGAAATAAAAAACATTATTTTTCAAATAGCTATCGTTTATATCTGCATATTATAAAACGTGACATTTGTAAGGAAAGGTAATGCCGTAGTTTACGATCGTAAATTACGACATTACCTTTCCTTACGACATTTACTTTGGTGGTAATATTCAGGTGGTCTATCAATTATTGAGTCCTTTTAAAGTCGTCACATAAATATTTACATTGTTAAAATAAAAGTATTAATTAATTACCAGTGTAATTTCAGTTTAAGCCCAGATACGTATACCGTCATGGCGGCTTATCTCTGATTCCAGCAAACAAAAGAAAGCAAACAGTGGGGACGCACGTTCTAACCTAACCTAACCTAACCTATTCTAATAATTTGGTTGGTAATAATTATGGTAATTTATTAGAATAGGTTAGGNGCAAACAGTGGGGACGCACGTTCTAACCTAACCTAACCTAACCTATTCTAATAATTTGGTTGGTAATAATTATGGTAATTTATTAGAATAGGTTAGGTTAGGTTAGAACGTGCGTCCCTACTGTTTCCTTTCTTTTGTTTGCTGGAATCAGAGATGAGCCGCCATGGCAGTTGACGTATCTGGACTTTAACCTTCAGTTTAAAAAAAAGAAGCTATTAATTGGGTTGCAATTTGTAGAACTATAAATCCTCACTATAGTCAGTCCGTCTTTCCTTAATCTCGAGAATGGAGTTAGATCAATGAAGTACGGAGCCCGATACGGAAACTTTAGGGGCGGGAGGCCTCGATTAATTACTTACGAACTTCCAATGCAAACCGGAATTTTTAATTAAAAAATTTTCTCCCGAAAGGAGTTAGACAGATGACTGACAAGACTTCGTTTCTAACAAAAAAAAAGTATGATGTTACGGAGCAAGATGCTACGGTATTAATTTGAAGTGGAGAGCATATATGTCAAATAAAATAAATTTAAAATATGGTTAAAAATTGCAGTCTGGAATTGTGACGACTTCACAATAAATAATTGTTCATTTGTATTATAAGAATAATCTAATGTACGGGGCTGTCTTTAAATAATGTCCACGCCGGAAGGGGCCAGTTCTTTTCTTCTAGATTATTAAAAATTATAATTATTAATTTAGATAAGAGATGGCACCTAACGTCTATCTCTAGTAACAAATTACTTAGTACTGTATTTAATTGTTAAATAGTGGATTTATGGCCCGATTCTTTAAGACGATCGTTTGGTTATGTATCGATGGAATCTTCGAGTTCTTAAAAATGAATTGTTTTTAATTTTATGCGATTATTACTCCACGAAAAGCAATGCAATATCTTTTAATAATTGATATTTTAGAATTTAATGCTAGTTTTATTTGAATTTAATTAAAATAATAATAAAATTCTTCAAGATTAAAAAATTATGTATTATTTAATTAGAGAATTAAGTAAGATTTTATGTATTCTGTATTTTTATTTTATGATGATAAAACTACATATCGGTAATTATAAAATTCTAGGAAATGGTCACGTGTCCATTGAATCCCAATCATTACATGCCTCAGTCTTCATTAGCAAAGCACATAGAAACTTGTAGTTGGATTGCAGATGGCTACACTAAAAAAGAAAAGGTATGAGATTTGAAGCTTTTTTTTAGAATTTAACAATATCTAAATACACGATTATAATAGAATAACTCGAGAAATATTTCAAAAGCTGGAACTGTTTTTATTCAATAATATGCAACAAACTTTAAACACACTTCTATCAGGAAAATGCCTTTTAATTTTTACAATAGCTAACATTTTTGTCCTTCAGAGGCCTGAATCAACTTTTGAAGGTCTGTGTAAGCCTGATCCACATCTCTGAAGGCCAAAACACTGTGAAAATTAAAAGACATTATGACATTATCATGCTGGAAGAGTGTTTAAGGTTCATTGCATGTTATTGTATAAAAATAACCCTTACTTCTAACCTTGTAACCGGAATGGTTGTGTTATATGTCAGCAAATGTTTTCGACGCCCCTTCTGGGCTCTTCCTCAGGCTTTTTCTATAAATACTAAGCCGGACGTTGAGAATCGAATACCTTCTTTTGGGCTGTTTATCATTTGAATCATCGCACGCGTCAACCTTCGAGCCGATTTAAAAAGAAAAAGAAAAGAGCAATGTTTTGTGTACAGTGCATGCGCGTTGCAGTACTTTTGACGTAAACCTTTAAATGCTATCATCTAGAAGGATCTGCCATGCTGTTGAAAGGGATATCTCTTTAAAATTGATGCATGTTGTGTTGCGTCCTGCTCTAAATATCTCCATAGCCTCCAACCATTTGAGATGTTCGAGGTGGGTGGTAGTGAGGATAATATGTGCTGCGTCAAAGTCTGCCGTGATGTCCTGATCAGTCGCATATGTTGAGAGAGCCATTGTAGTTCTGTTGTGTTGTATATCAGCCTTATGTTCTTTAATCCTAATCCCCAATGTACGTCTAGTTGAGCCAATGTAAACCATTTCTCTGTTAAACCTGTGGTCTCTGAGCGGGATGGTATAAATTCCATGTAGCCTGACTGGATTCAGTAGGTCTTTTCCGTTACATAGTATTTGGAAAATGGTTTGGCATCTTCTGTAGGTTATATTGACCTGACGTCTCTTGGCTATCTCATTATATAACGATTTTAAATGTGGATTAAATGTGATGGGGATCGTTTCTATATTTTCTTCTTGAATTTTTATTTGTCTTTTTGTCCGGTTGTTGTCTGCTTCCTGGCTACTTCTGTATCGTTTATATAATCCCCGTATGAGGTTGATGTAGCCATGGGCCACTGCTACTGTGGAAGTCTGAACCGAATCTTAAACAGTTTGTTGATATGGTGAACGACAATCCTTACAGTCTGTTGATTGAAATAGAGCAATACAGCAACTCAAATGTCCATCTTTTGGATATCGACATCTCCTTTGAAGGTCTGAACATACACACTGTGGTATACCAAAAAACTAGTAACACTTCCACGTATATTCTGATAGGATCCTGTGATCCTTTTCAATACAAAATAGCAGCCTTCAGGGCTTTGGTCAAGAGGGGTTTTATACACTCCTCCTCTCTCCAAGCACTAACTCAAGAAATGAGACACACAGAAGGGATCCTTCTAGATGATAGCATTTAAAGGTTTACGTCGAAAGTACTGCAACGCGCATGCGCTGTACACGAAACATCGCTCTTTTCTTTTTCTTTTTTCTTTTTAAATTGGCTCGAAGGTTACCGCGTGCGATGATTCAAATGATAAACGGCTCAAAAGAAGGTATTCGATTCTCAACGTCCGGCTTAGTATTTATAGAAAAAGCCTGAGGAAGAGCCCAGAAGGGGTGTCGAAAACATTTGCTGACATATAACACAACCATTCCAGTTACACGGTTAGAAGTAAGAGTTATTTTTATTACATTCGGGTGTGTGGAGACAAATAAGTGTTATTGTATAACAGAATATATCTAGTAAGAACTATAATTATAACAATTTAAACAATTAGTTGTTTATACTTCTGCCTTTATTTACAGAGCATTTGAATGAACGTCGTTTCGTGTCCAAATTATTATCACTCTGCCTCTTGTGCGGCAGCATTTCATGATGTATGTAATTTGGCTTGTGTCTGAACCAGGTTATTTAACAACTCGTACTGGTCGAGACACTCACTGGTACAAAAGTAAAATTGTAATAATGTAGTGGAGTTGATCTGGAGAAAGACGAGTTGAATTTGTTCTTAGACAGTCATATCATACTTCATAGCTATAGATAGATATTTGCAGTCACAAATTGGTGTTTTCACTCATTACATTTGGTTGATCTGCTTTGTTTGTATCGAGTTACTCAGCTCATTTAGGCCCTGTACACACTAGGCGTTTTTCAACGCGCGTTAGCTCGGCGTTCCACGAGCGTTAGTTCGGCGTTTAGCACTGGCTCAGTTTGGAAATGGACGAGAAAGTAATTGATTGTGTGTGCTCCTCCATCGTCGCTATAAGGCAGCACATATATCTCAAAGCGCCCGTAAAGTGCCCGCAAAACGCGCGTTTTAACAAAAATCTATAAACGCGCGTTTAACGCGCGCTTGGCGTTTGAGTGTGTACGGCTACATAGAACTCTTGGTTCTTTAAAATGCGCGTTGAAAAACGCCTAGTGTGTACAGGGCCTTAGGGAGTTTTTTTGTATTGTCAATCTTTCGTAATGGTTGTGCACAAACTTTGAACTTATCTAATCTCATGATGATGATCGTGAATAACTGATGAAGATAGAAACATCATAGGATATCGAGTTTTCTGAGATGAAAAGACCCTGCTTAACCATTATTAATATTAAAAAATATAAGAATAGTGAAAAATAAAATTTAAAAATTTATAGGAAGCTAAAATGATCACTGTATGTTGCAATTTCTACTGCTATTGTATAAAGTGGAAGTATTTTATGATCCTGTATAATTCTGACTGGCAGATTTTGTTTTATTTGACTTTACTAAGAGAAAATAGTTGCAGTTTATTTTAAAATATTTTTGAAATTTATTGAATAAATAAATTTTTATTAATATGTATAATTATATAGGCTATTCTCTTTGTTTTTTATAGGAAGAATCTTTGTCAAGTTCACATTTCTTCTACAAAAATTCGACATCTGTCGTACCAGTTTTAATAGGTAAATTTTAAATTTTACATTTTATGATTTTAACAAGGTACATAATATTTTTGAAAATTATATTATTAAAATAAACTTTCACTCCTGTCTGATTAAAATATTTTATTATTAATAGATGAAGAAACACAGCACAAAATTATCTGTGAAGTTAATGGAAAGAATCCTCTGCAGGACAGTAAGTATCTTAGACTTCATTAAATAAAAACATAATCATAAGACATTATGTTGAAATCCCTATTTTATAATTCAGCAGTTTATTTTAAAAAAAAATTGTTACTAGTCAAACATGAACCTAAAGCAGTGGATTATTATGGAATAAATTAATGATGATTTTAACAAATTAGTATTGAAATTTGACATTAAGAGTGAAGACAATTGAAGTAGTTAAATTTATACACTCACAAGTATTAGGGAACAGTGCCACTATCTCATATAAAACATGAATAATTAAAATTCATTCTGAAAAAATTGAATACTTTAAAATATTTATAAAAAAAAATGATTGATCTGAAGTAGAATTGTGATTACTACAAACTGGATAGAAATACAGGTAACCCCCATATAACACGGTAGTTACGTTTCAAAAAATTGCCGTGTTATGTGGATCCGTGTTATACGAAACAAAGAACTAGAACGAAAAGGAGGGTTAGGTTCCAAAAATTAAAAATCATGCTATTATATTTTCATAATTAAGATGAATATCTTTATTAAAATTTTCTTAAGTGATACTTAATATAAATTAAACAACGTTTTCTTTGTCATCACTAAAAGCACTATTAACCGAGAGCGTTTTCTTTTTGGCAAGTTATCCTTATCCTCTGAGCATTTTTCTGCAATATCTTCAGATCCATGCTTTACCTTTTGCAAAAAGTATGTAATTTTAGATTGCTTGCTTCTAGTTAAAAGATCTTTATAAATTTCTTTATATAGTGCTAAGCACTTATGAAGAATAAAGCAAGTATGGAATAAGGGAAAAACATTTGGCAACATCAGAAGCAGAAGCGTCGATATCTGGCAACATTGAAACAAGTATCGAGAAGGACCATGTGTATCGACAGAAGGAAAAGAAAATTTACATACTTAAGTACTAATAGTTCACGAAAATAATAATTTTCGTGAACTATTATTTCTTAAGTATGTAAAAATTTATTACATTTTATGTTGTACGAGGGTTTTACCCAAATCTCGAACCATGTCAGAGTGAATCCGTGCTATAACAGTATCGTGTTATACAGGGATGGTACCAATTCTTGAACCGTGTTAGAGTGAATCTGTGCTATAGAAGTGCCGTGTTGTACGGGTGTTACCTGTACTATCAATTGCATTATTTGCTGAGAGGTCTAGGTAAAATAACTAGTTTATATTATATAAATAAATATGAATTTTTCATAAAACTAAAATAACATTTTATTCTGAAGAACCTACGTAAATAAATAACGATATTTACTCTTGTAAATTCTATGCAGAAGAATGGGGACACGTTATATTTAATAATAAAATTATGCATTTTTATTTTAGCTTTAAAAATAATTCTCATCCAATATTGCATGAAATTATTAAAGTAATTGATTTCTTTTATTAACAATGATCATAGATTATTAACATTCTAGTTCAGTTTATTTTCTTATCAAAAATATTTTCAGTTTCTAAAATTTAAGTGATGAATTAAAAGAATTAAAATGGTTCCTTCAAAATAGACCTGGTGACTAAACAGTAAATGTGCCGTCTTATTACTGTTGGGAAATCTATACAGTAATACCCCGAACTTATGCGATAGGTGGGACCGAGCGATAACCGTGTAAGTCGAATTTGCGTAAGTCGGGGTATAATTTTTCAATTTGTGTAAAATCCGGGTGTATGTAAGCTAATAAATGTTCTTGTTAATCTTATCTCGTGTTTTGAATCAAAAGACGAAATAAGATTAACGAGTTCACGGTTACAAGAAATCACAACATATAGTCTCTCAAGTCTCCGTAGATATAACAAACACAGAAATAAATAACACAAAATAAATTGTAGCTACGTGTCGATTCAGCGCGACACGTCCGAACATGTAAGCTGAACAATAGTGTGGGGGGAGTGAGTAATCAAGAAATGAGGGGCACGCTCAAACAAAAGACGAATCAACGAGATTTGAAAATCGCGTAACTCTGGGTTCGTGTAAGTCGGGGTAGCGTAAGTCGAGGTATTATTGTATTTAAATCTGTCTTCAACCTCTAACTTTATCATGAATACTATCAGTTGGGATATTGTTTTTTTTTTTTTTTTTTTCATTTCTTCACTTGTTCTTCACTATAATACAGGAAATTATACCTTAACTTGCACATATCTTTCATCTTAATGAACTGATCAATTAGAATAGGTATGAAGTACAATTATTTGAAATCAATTCAAAAAAGTTTACTAGTTGTGAAAGTTTTTTTATAAACATTTATATTTTTTAAATTAATATTTCAAATATATATATTTCTTTTGGAAACAATAAAGTACAATATAAAAACAAAGTAACATAATCCCAAGAGTTTATCTTTTCATTTATTGTTTATATGCACATTAACGACAACGATGTTGATTACTATTATTTTTATTACAGTGTCAAATGTGAGTACCAGAAACCTTCTTTACTTAAGAGTATTGAAAATTATGTATTCTTCATATCCTTTCTTGTTTATCTAAAAAACACCATGTTAAATAACATTGGTGATATCCTTTTGTTTTCTAACAAATGTTAAGAAAATGTGTTAAAAATTGAAGAATTTTTTTGGCTTTTAATTTTTTCAATGTTAACTTATATACAGCCGAATTGAAGTTTTTTAAGAAATAAAACTTACAAATACGATCCAGTTCAAGTGTATTTTCTTGGATTGAAGATTTTTAAGGAAATTCTAGGCTGATTTTGGCTTATTACGGCCAGAACTTTTCAGAGAACTCGACAACAGAAAAATAAAGATAGAGAAAAGAAGTCAGATTACTACTTATTAGTAGCTTTTAGATAGTAGTAATCTGATTTATTCTCTTAATCTTTATTTCTCCCGTTGATTTATAATGACAGGCATAAATCCTGAAAGTTCTAGAGTTTGCTAAAAAGTTTTCACTTTGAGAAAAGCAGTTTTAATTTGGATTTATATTTGAAGACACTCCTAAATAAGTATAAATGTGACATAATTTTAATTATATAATTTGTATTATACTCTAATAGAAAGACTTTAGCTTTTTATCTTTCAGGAAACCATATATATGCAATTTAAAACAGTTTTTAAAATATACATTATAAATTATCTTTGTAATATTAAATCATTTCATATTTATCTAACTGAATACCATTTTAAATTTAATAATTACAATTTAATTAATAATTTAATAAGAATCTCTGAAGCATGCTTTACAGAAAATGAATCTTTAAAAAATTAGTGTCTAATGGAACAAAAAATTAAAAAGAAATCTGTTAGTAGTTTATAAAAATTCTCATAAATTACAAAATTAGCTGAGTAGAACATAGGTTGTGTACAGAATATATAAAAAAGGAAGCCAATTTTTCACCAAATTAAAACATTTTAAAAGAAAATTAGTACACATACGTTAGAATAAATTTACAACATTGAAGTTGTTAGAATTTAATAATTATAAATGGACGATGTTGCTATAACAACCATCCAAATACATTAATCAATAAAAATAAGATTAAATTGCTCTTAACATTACATTTTATATGAATTTTTGTAAGCTATTAACACATATAAAACCAACAGTCTGGCTTGTAGAACAAAATGTAGAAAAATGAATGTTTTCAATTGCCATAAGCTTCCATCTTTAGGTTAAAAGAATGGATTTGGAAACAGAACAAAAGATGGACTGCTATAATTTAATATATAAAAATAATATCTGTTTACGAATCCATTCTTTTAACCTGAAGATTGTTGCTCAAGACAGTTGAAAACATGGAGAAATGACGATAACAGCAATGTTCTGTTTCAAGGACTGCGGGTCTCTTGTATTATTCCCGTATGCATATTCCTTTAGATAACCCCAAAGGAAGAAACTAAATGATGACAAATCAGGAGATCTGGGAGGAAATTTCTGTATGCATCAGGCATATGATTTGATTTAAAAGTATTCCTCCGAAAGGAAAATGACATGCTTGTGCCTTTGAATAGCCTGCACTGCTGCATTACAATGTTAGAGAGTCAATGGGAAACTGGTGCAGGTTAACACATCATCACATCTGTACAAGGAGAGACATCTGTCATAGTTTGGAATTGGCTCTTTGCATAACTAATTTAAACGCTTAAAAGAATTGTCATAGTCTTTACGTGTTCTGAAAGATGTGAGGAAGGTGATGATTTTAGAAATTTACATCACCAATGTAAAAACATATTAAAATCAAAGTTTGAGGACTTTTAGCTCACCTTATGTAATTAGAATATAAGAATATCTTATATCTTTGCTTTTCTTTTAACAATAAAAAACCTGAAATAAAGTATAAAATAGAATAATTTATATTTTTCGGCCAGGCTGATAGCAAATTATTAACCATTGCCATAATAAAGTTTGCCGATTTAAGTTTATGAAAATTGGGACAGTTATATAAAATTAAATTAATTCATTTTTGATTTAAGTTATGATTCTAAAAAGTTTTACATATGGGAATATGCTAATATCTTAAAACATGTGTGAATTAAATTTATAAGATGACTCTAGAACACACCTTAAAGTTTTCCTACAACTAAATTTAATCAAAAGTAATGCTCTCGGCCGGCTTGTTAAGTCTTTGTTGGGTTACGGAACAGTAAATTTTGTTACTGGAAAAGTGTATAAGGTGTACCAAAGAGAACTTCACTACTGTTTCAAATGTATGCAGTTGCATTTTTCTTGTTTTTACGATGAGAAATAAAAAGTAACTTGTACAATATACATTTCTAAAAAGACAAGATACAATATACTTACTTTATATCATTTATATTCTAAGATTTACAATAGTTCTCTGCAGTTTTTTGTTACAAAATGGTTTCCTGTTTGATTAAAAGCTTAATATTACTCAACCCGTCTAATGTAGAAAGGTGACTGTAACAAAATTATTCACAGTAACATAAAACAAATAACAAAATTTATCTATAGTAAACAGAACATTTAATAGTTTATTTTAGTATTTAAATTAAATATAACAATGAAAAAATGAAAACGAAGCTGAATAAATTGATAATTTATGTACTGATTTTAAATATAATTGTTTATCTTTAAATTAGCTCATTTAGAAGAGCATTCCTTTACTTTATAGGAGTGCTAAGTAATATAATAAAGTATGAAATTTTAATTTTGCGCTCATAAATTATATTTGTGTATGATTAACAAATATTAGATATGTTATTTACACACTTATTGTAGCAGATATTTTATATAACATTTCTTAAATATCTGCTTGCTTTTAACAATTTAAATGAGGAAAACTGACTGTAGATGTTTTTGGAACTGGTATTGGATCAAATTCTGAAAACGGAAGAAGGTTCGGGCTGATTCCAGAACCTCGAAAACTCGAGAAATGACAATTTTTCTCATCTAACTTCTTAAAAATAAGTAGATGTAATTAATTGTTACAAGTATTATATAAGAATTAAAATAAAGATACTTTAGCACTGCAATTTCTGAAATTAAACTTTCTGTTATGATTATAATGACTATATTGCCTTGATTATAGCTAAATGATCAAACGAACTATATATATATGTATCAACATCCCAAATCCTGATGCATTGTAACTAAACCAAACGATTGCCGTAATTAATCGGGATATTTTTATGCTATAATTAATAATTAGAGACTAAGTAATTTGGTAATTTAGATAAGAGATGGTGCCTAATGTCTCCCTCTACCACCAAATTACTTAGTTTCTAATTATTAATTATAGCATAGTAATAGCCCGATGAATTACGGCGATCGCTTGATTTAGTTTCACGGCTTCGGAATGTTTATTATGTTTAAATATAATGAAATTTATTTGGTTACATTACTCAAAATGAAGTTATATTTACAATTAATTATTTTTCTTTTAGAAATTGCAGTGTTTATTGATTTAGTGGATGTAAATTAATTCATATTTTGTTCCTTTAAATTAAAATTTCACTAATTAGTTAAGTTATTGAATACTTTTTATGAATAACGCGAGTACAGTTTAATTATTAACGCTGTATAATTATCTTTTAATATAAAACAAATAAATGATATTAATTTTAACTGTAATAAAATTTTGGATCAGATTTGGAACCAAAGAAGAAAGTTCCGCGCACTATGGATAGGTGTATGACAGAATTAACACAGAAAGAGAGACTGGCCATTTACGATTATGTGGTCGAATACGCAAAAGTAACTAACAAACCAGTAAGTATAAAGTTGGAAGATCTGCAGGTGAATTTTACCAAGTCGGATAAAACAGGTAACAAATTTATTATTAAATTTAATTACTGTTTTAATTCGTAAACTAAATTAGTCCAAACATAAAATTTCAAACAGACGATAAAGAACCGAAGAGTCATTTAGAAGTGTTGGCGGAAGAGAGAGACTACAAGAGACGCAGGCCATCATATAGAGCTAAGAACGTTCATATCACTAAGAAATCTTATACCGAGGTAGTATTTATCAAAATATATAATAATTTTAATATAGTATTGGAATTTGTAGGAAAAATGCTTATATTTAAATGTGTAATGGAATGTATGGCAGTGATGTATTTGCAATTTTCAAAATGCGCAGACCTAAAAAAGGAAAGTCTGTCTACCCGTCCTTCCTTAATCTCGAGAACGGTGTCAGATAGATGAAAGTTGAGACCAGATATGGAAAATTAGGAGCAGGAAGCCTCAATTAACTATATATGAACTTTTGGTCTGGACTGTAAGTTACATTATTCAATTCAAAAATTTTCTATGGAACAGAGTTAGATAGATGACCAACATGACTCCATTGTTAACAGAAAAAGTATGATGTACAGAAGCAAGACTACTAAAATTGAGAGCATTGTGACGATGACACAATAAATAATTGCTTGTTTTGACATTAAGAGTATCTCATTTTTAATTTTTTATCTATATTCTTATTTCAAAATAGTAGGTGCTAATATTAGACAGATGGCTGATTGGCAAAAGCAGTTAAGGCCATCGAGTTATCATTCTAAGAGACCTAGTAATAAATCTGGACAAGCAACTCCAGAGGAACTTTTAGGTGGGATTTCTCAAATATGTCAGGTCCTGTCTATCACACTTACAAGGAATGGGTGAGACGTTTGGTGAGCCCATGACCTAAACACGAACAGCTCCTTATCCAAATAATAGGACCCACTTCTCCAGTTTTTCCGTAAAATGGTCCTCCAAAAATTGAGTGTTTAGATGTGCTTGGAAGTTTCTTGTCTCTTTGGAACGTCGGTAGCCAAGTGGATAAGATTGTAGGCACTTGAGCTGCGCAATGCAAATTTTAGTTTATCTTATATGTAACATCATTATTATATTACTTTACAGTATTATTATGCATCACGTTTAAAGCTTGTTTCATAAGCTTTAATTGTAAGAAATAATAATATTAATATCAACTACTAATATTTGGACACAGAGCCGTTAGTGTTTCGGGCTACGTGCTCACCAAGTTTTGTTCAAATTGGAGATTCAAACGTCTTGTTAGCCACCTCCATCATGGGTTTGGCTAAATCCACAATGGATATGAGTAAAATTGTCCTATTGGTGTCCACAGGGCAGAAAGAGTTATTAAGAAGAAAAAACTACATTAGATGATAAATCTTTCTGATGCTTTGGAATTACAAAATTTACTATAATTCATTCTAAACACTTTAAAAAGGAATCTCTTGTAAGTTTACTGTGCATGACACCGACTTGTGGGTACATAATTATAAAAGCATGGTACATAACTATAAGTATTCAGTTTTTACTATTTGTCTATAAAATCTTTATTGATATATAATTAGAATTTATAGAAAGCAGAGTAATTATAGTTATTTAATAATGTACCAGAAATATAGTTTATAATTCTTGCATTTTGTGTACATTATTGGTTTTTAGCAGGGCTGTGGAGTTTCGGTGTTTTAGTCGGAGTCGTCAAAAAATCCGCCGACTCCAATTTCCATTTACTTACTAACTTGCTATGTATATGAAACAGAGTCGGAGTTGGATGGTAAGGAAAAGTCGGAGTTGGAGTCGGTAGATTTTTACGCGACTCCACAGCCCTGGTTTTTAGTAACTTTCTATAATAAATGCAGTATAATATAGAATTATATTTTTCTTTTTATGCTTTTTAATATATAATGTATTAAATACAGTATATTTCAAGCTCATTGTAATCAATATATTAAAGCTAAGTCTGAGGCAGCATTCAAAAATTGAATTGAGTCATGTATATGTTCATCATTCACATTTTTAATTTATGCAGTGACCTCACTCGATTAGGTTACGGTCGTGGCGGAAATCCATTTCAATATTTAGACTGGCCAAAGAAACATGAACTTTTCAAGAGCATTTTTGACAAGTGTTAATTGGCCTTATTAACTGTTAACGCATGCGATTTGATAACTGTAATGCTAACATTGTTATAAAGTGGCTTTTGACGGCTAAAATAATTATGTATATTTAAAACAATAGCTCTAGCTTGACTTTACAATAATTATACACTACATTAGTTCTGATTTTGTTAGCAAAATGATGATGTCATTAGCATTGCTTCATTTCTTAAACTCTATAGTTGATATTATTTGATAAATAAAATAGAAATGAAGCAAAACTGCAAAGAAAATTGTCATTTAGTAACCATTATGGCTTTCTGACAGTGCGTTTTAGAGTAGTTTCATCATATATATTAAATATATATTTTTTGCTTTACTTACTTTAATTACACCTGTAATAAACTGTTAAAGAAATGGGGAAAAAAGAATGTTTGATACAGTACTCTTTAATTTTTTTCTTTTAATTTAATTATTTTCTATTTACAGATACTAAAAGAAGTAATTCAAAATCAAATGGAATACTTAGTTGAATGTCGAGTGGAAGAAGAAAGGTAAAACACTATTCATAAATCATACACGCGTATACGGGATGTAACAGAATGTGTGTGAAAAATGGATGGGATGTAGAGAAGTTAGTTTTGAGTCAAAAACTCTTAACACCGTTTTTTGATTTGGTACCACTTTGGACCACTTTTAATGCCATTTGGCATGGGCTATAATGTGTGTAAGGGAAAATAAAATAAATTATTCACTAGTAAGCCAGCATTGCTTTTACCAGGGCTACGAAGTTGGAATCGGGAGGAGTTTCTTGCCAGAGGCGTCAGAGTGGGAAAAAATGTGTCGACTCCAACTCTGGCATTTTAAATTTAATTTAGGTTTTTTATTTAAATGAAAGAAAATTTATTTTATATTTATTAATTTTTAAAATGCTTTTGTATTTTGTTATAATTCATTTCTTTTAAATACAAAATGCAACAAGTTAATTTATTAAATATGTATTAATAGTTTTTTTTTTTTTTGTAGTATTTGTGTTTAGTTAGTTAAATTATTTTGACCTAATTCAATTTGAATATTTTTGATTCATTCCTTTATTATTTCCACTCTAAGTAAGTACTCTATTTTTCTGAATGAGCCAGACTAATTGATCAGAGTATATATTTTTCTTTTCTGAACAAGGGGACGAAGTAGCTAAATTGCATGCTTTAACTTTTCTGGAAGGATGAAATTGAAGTGTAAATGCTGTAGAATAAAGATATGTAGATGTAGAATTTTATCAACCCTCTTTCTCTTGTTAAAAATTAATTTTTTATACAAATAAATATTAATGTAAGTTAAATATTAAAAATACTAATTATAAAAGTATTTGGTAAGAGTCCAGAGTAGGGTACCCCCTATGAATGCCTCTAAAATGACTTGGTATTTTAATTTTGCTGGAGTCAGAGTCGGCCTACTAAAATTATCAGGAGTCAGAGTGTTTTTTACCAACTTTGCAGCCCTGGTTTTTACAGACATTACTGAACATTATTAATTTATTTGAGAAAAAAACGTTTGAGTTACAAGATCCTGTATTGTTGCAAAAAGGGTCAAAATTCATGTCACAAATTAATATTTCAGATAATTCAATTGCATTAAACTAACATCCAATTATCAAACAGATGTTTTCATACATTGCACATCATTTTTTGCTAAACAGGAAATGATTTCACACTTTTTAAATTGCTTATAACTCAAAAAGAATACTTCAAATCAAAAAAAAAATGGCACTAGAGTTTTCAATTCAAAATTAATCTCTCTACAACCTCTCCATTTTTTTACAAGACATTTCCACTACACCCTGTATAAAAATGATTCAATATCTGAAACCAAATAATTTTCTCACATGTAAATACATGGAGAATTATTTGGTTTACTTAAGATATTGAGATATCATGTTACAATAACTTTATAATTTAAATTAAATTTCTTTAAATTTCTCAATTTGATTACACTTCTCCTTTTCTGAAAAATAAACAATTATCACTGAATTTTAAGGAAATTTTATCACAAAATTTGAAATGTTTGTTTGTTGATGTGAAACAAGAGCAGCTATGCGGTCGGTTTAGTTTTTTAGCATTACAAGTGGGATACCTGACTGACATGCATCGGGTTTTCTTCCTCAATGCCATACCACATTGAGATTGGACTTCAAGAAATGGTGTCCAATACATCAAAGCTGGACATTCGGGAAAAACCTTCTAAACTTATGAGCTAAATTTTAATCGAACATACCTTGTATCACGTCCTCATGTCTTACAACTCAAATTTCATTCATTTCTTGAGATAGAAGGCTGAAACATTGCACTGACATACCCAAGTCCAATGACAGTGCATTTTAATAATAGTTTAGGAGTGATGTTCTCACTCAAATAGAACAAATGTAGAATTTAATCAGTAATATCAATTGGATCATGGATACTTTTAAACATGTAAATTCACTGTAGTGAAGTGAGGATAGGCCACCTTGTCATTTAGAAAATTGTCAAAAATAGAATTTAATATCTAACATAATTTATAAATTATACTTTTATGGATTGTTTTAGGGACAACACTCCCCAATATTTTTGAAAACATTTTAAAAAAATTTAAATAAAATGTAATAATTAAAATAAATTTCATATGCAATTCCAAAGTATCAAACATTTAAAATTTTATTTGGCCAGAAATGAAGAGTATAAAGGATGCAGAAGTGAAGACACAAGAGTAAAATCTCATTCTAGAGAAAGAAAGTACAGAAGTTCTCATCATAAAAGTAAACATCATATTAAATGAATCTTTAAATTTTAGTTTTGTAAAAGAAAAAATTGATTTCACATTCCTCTGAAAATTATTTGATATATTGTAGTTTAAGAAAATGTTCCCTAAATTTTTTGTTTCTTCTTTCAATTACATGCCAAATTAAAATTATTTTTTGTTCTCTTGTTGTGCGTTAACTACAGAGAAACGTATTTTAAAATTTAAAGTAAGTTTGACAGTAAATCTGAATGCTTGATTTAATTATTATAAACAAAACAAGATTATAGTTTAATGTGGTCGGTGGAATGGGCTTACAGTTGAGGTGACGACGTACCACTCTGGGTGACCCGGAATCAAATTTGGATGGGTCGAAAAGCCTTGGGAATTTTTCTGGATACGTTCAATCCCATCCGTCACTGTGTGGCCACCCCATTGCAGGCCTAGCCAAATCCAGAATTGGCTTGCCGAAAAGGCACTCTGGGTGCCCGTTCAGCAGACAGAGTTGAAAACAATGTGTAGCAATGAGTTTCGAATTAAAAAGTTTTGTAATTTGTGACATACAGATACAAATTAATCGAAACTAATGATAACAGAATGTAAATATTTTTATCTACATTCAGTCATTAAACTTTTTAATTAAATGTAAATTAGTATTCATTTGTCATTTTTTATATTTAATGAAGATGTTTAGTAAAATTTAATAATTAAGATGTATTGTCGGCATACCATTTTTCCTTAGTGTTAGCGTGTTACCCAGTCATGGCCTTGTAATTGATTGTGTGGTGAGGATTGGGATATCATTAAAAACCCAAATAATTAAATGATTTGGGTTTAGGAAAACATGAATTGAGACAGTTACAATTGTAATTTGGAAGAAATATCTGTGAAAAATTATTGAAATATTGAAAAATAATGAATTTCTGTAAGTAATATACATTCTTGCCATAAAAATTAGCGCACCAAGGAGGAGGTGTCACAATCGAACAAAATTTTATATTTGTGAGTGTAACGGTGATATAAGTAAGTGATTACAAAATGAAAGCAGAAGGATTATTTATTGTGGGAAAAACTACAAATCAAAGGAGGTTCTAGTATCCTGTTGGGCCACCTCTAGCATGAATATGCAATGTGATATGGACAGGCATGCAAGTGCTGTATGGCATCCAGCATAGGAGTTTGGTCAAACTCCTACACCGTCCAAATTGGCGTTCCAGGTGACCACAGACATGTTCGATTGGTGACAAATTGGGATTGGGCAGGCCAGGAAAATGTGGAAATGTGGCAAAGGCAGTCCTGTGATACCTTTACTGTGTGCGGTTGAGCATTGTCCTGTTGGAAAATAGCTTTTGGGAGCCCTGCCATGAGAAGTAACATATGTGGCTGCAGAATGTCACTAACATACCTCTGGGTTTGTCATGGTCCTTTGGATCACTACTAGAGGTGATCGACTATTGTGTGTGATGATACTCCAGACCATCACAGTGGTTGTGGGAGTGGTGTGCTGCTCCAAAGAATAGGCAGGATTGAGGTGTTCACCATGGGGCCTCCAAACATGAACACTGCTGTCTTTAGTGCCAAAACTGAATCTGGATTTGTCACTGTAGACGACCCTGTTCTGTAGACGGGTGATTTATGTCAATGGCAATGCACCTAATGGCCATACTAAATGTTCCTCACCCAGGCACCTCAAAACAGTACACAGACACACAGGCCTGTAATGATGGCGGACAATGGTATGATCGGATGTGTGCTTGCTTGTCAGAGGACCGGGCGGTCCTCTTGGCTAGTGGTCTGACGAGGACATCCCAAGCATGGGTTCCATGTGTGTGAGTTCTGTCTCGTCCACTGGTCCCAACACCACGTCAGTGTTATCAGAATCGCCTCGATGACTGTTCTGCAAGATGACCATCCAGCTTCTCTCAGCACAACAATCTTTTCTTTCTCAAATTCGGTTAGTTATATAGTCTTTGATTACAATGTAAAAGCATCTCTAATGATACAATGACCCTCTGAAACAGGTAAACTAAGGCATGATGCTTTCGCGTGTTTTTTTTACAGGCTAAGGGGAGGATACTTTAACACCCTCTGCTGGCATTACACAATGAGTCCCGGCATGCCAAGTTTTGCAGGGATACAACTCCTTGGTGTGCAATTTTTTTGGCAATGAGTATATAAAGGAACGTGATCTGGCCCTCACATGGCCATTCACATTGAATGGGCACATTGCTTGGTAAAGTGGCTTTAATACAGCTGGATCAACAAGCCAATGACAGTTTGTCACATTTGAAATGGACTATTATTGGCTTGCTCATCCAGCTGTGTTAAAGCCCCTTTGCCAGGTAATGTGCCCACCAACGGCACGTGACCCATACTCTGCCAATCACACCTCAGCAAGTGCCACCAATATTTCTCGCTTCCAAGATTTAATCGACGATTCTGGTGCTAACGGTACATTTTTAGTTGAATTTCAAATGGTAGCTGTATTACGTATTATATAGGTAAATGTCTCTTCAATCCGAACAAAATTTCGGTAGACTTTCTCACAGCTCTACAGGTTAAAAATCTCCTTTATTGTTTTTCACATATGCATTTCGGGCAAGTTTTATTTTTCCTGCCCCTCTTCAGTGCTACAAAACAAATTCATATTGAATTTACACAAAACAACTTTATAGTAGAAAATGCTTACAAGACATAAAAAGACACTTTATAATACCTTAAGATTTTCCCACATTTTTATTTAAAAGTTTATTGTCGTCTATGTATTTTGTGAGTAGTTACATATTTATTAAGTACTTTCCATAGTGCTGTCCGTAAATTACAGTTATGCAGTTATGGGTGGTTGGTTACGCAGATAATTGTTTAAATATATAGTCCGCTTAAGAGAGCACCCTCAGAATTGCTGCTTCGTGCTCCCTTATTCGAAGTCACAAGAATATCCACAGAATCTAGTCTCAAGTGAGTAACAACACGAATACGTTGGAGTGCCGCAGTGGGTCATTATCCTATGGGCAAAAAAGGGCAACTACCTGGGGCTCTCCAAATAGGGCCCAAAAACCAATCTTTTATTTGATAATATTTCTTCCCAAAAATCCCTTCGAGAAAAATGTCTGAAGTTAGTACCACGTGATATTATTAACCGTTTGTACTCGATTACAATATCATAATACAGTATTGCATTTAAGAATCGATAAAGTAATTTTCTGGAATGATCAACAGAGGGAGCCAGTAATAAAACTCCTATCCATGTCAAAAGAGCTCATTATAAAACTTTGTTTAAAAATTAAAAAAATAAAATAAAATAAGAAAGTAATGGTAATTCTGTTTTTTATCTCTATAGTTTGTTAAGTTTTATGATAATTAAAATAATAAAATATAATGGAGGAAAATAGAAGTTCATTTTCTGCTTAACAGATGGCGCGACCCTACGAGTTAAGAAAAATATCATTAATTCTTCCCCAACCTAGAGAACGCGATATATTTTCAGGGGTATTTTTAAAAAAAGAAGCTGGCAACATTGTTGCTAGTCTCTCCCGGCATTATTTGTTTTCATCCCTAATAATTGCTACCATTTACCTTAAAAAGTCTTCAGATTGGTTCGGGAGAGATTAAGGTGATGGGGCCATATCTCCCGAACCAATTGTCCGAAAACCCGAAAAGTTCCACTTGCCGACCCGCTGGAAAGGCACGAACCCACAACCAAGTACCAATGTGCATTAGTTCTATCCACTCGGCCATCGTTGGCATCGTCAAAGGTAATATGTGGGCCGAAAAAGGGAAACATTGAATTATTATTTATTTTAATTAATAAATATATATCTAAGAGAAAACTTTTCAAAAAAGTAGAAATATTTTCAACTTTGTTTTCAGTCGGATTTCTGCGGAACGTTACGTCATTTTGAATTTCGGCTCTATTTTCGGGGTAATGTCCCAGGCCTTAGCATCTTCTATAGCTTGGTAAATTGTATTATAAAGACAGAAGTAAAAGTAGTGTACGAAATAGAAATTTTCCACTTTTCCATCCCACTATATAGTATAAATGATTAAATAACTGTATTTAGTGTGTTGAAAATACACTAAATATTACTGTATTTAGTGTATATACCGTAAATATAGTATACAAATCAGCAGTATCGGATTCCAGACGTATTTTAAACAAGAAAAAAAACCTCTCGATAAGGTTATTTTTCTAGTTAGGGTTGCCAGATTTCCCGGTTTTCCACGATACCTGGCAACCCTACTTCCATGCCAAATTACAGCTCAATGTTTTTTTAAATTCGCCGTATAAAAATATCTGTAAAATTATCATCTTTGATAAATTAATCAAGCAAATCTTTATCAAGGTATTATAATAAATAAATTGAAATAAAAATTGATTTTATTCCTGATTTGCTAAATTTAACACGAGATGGCGCGCATAACCGTCCACCTCTACCGGAATACTTAATATCTCATGAATTAATTAGCCTTAATGTAGCCTGATAGGATTGATTAGTAAAAGATTATCGGGTTATTAAATTGATATTGATTATTATTCATTGGATTAAATAAAATTTAGACTCGAAGTTATTTATTTATTTTTTTAATGTCAGAAAGTTCTGCCATATTCAAAAATTATCAAATGTTTAAATTCGGTTAATAATCTAATTGTTAGTATTTATTATTAGTCAATTGCAAATGACATTTATACGATTTTATTATATATTTTGGGCCCCTTTCGCTCAGGGCTTTCTGACTGCAACGTATATTTTTCACCCATAAGCTTAGAAATATAGTTAATGCATACGTATGACACATTTATATAAATGGCTCGTGTTACAAATATACGAAAAATTCGTATTAATGCTACTGTTTCGGGAGAATAAAACGAATTTGTTACGGTTTATTTATATCTTCTACTGTTTAAACATTTATTTAAAATAATATACATAAAAGTAGTTAGTAGTACTTAATGTGTTTAAAACGTTGTTGTGTAATTACAAATTGTACAATTGCTTTATACTTAAGTAAAAGTGCTTTAAATGGAATAACTGCAGTGTATCCCGCATAGAACAATAATAATAATTACGTATTGTCTCCGAGATTGATCAAACACTGCGCCCTGCTCCAATACTCTGATCATTCTTAGTTGCCCTGTAGATCGGCCTTGAGAATGACTAAAACATGGCTCCCTGTTAAACAATAGGGAGCCAGAAATATTACATCTTAGAGACAAATATATATATATATATAATATTTCAACTAAAATTTAATAAAATAAAATTGTGTAGAAGCGTGAAGTTTTCATTGTTTACGAGCAGCAAAATGATAAGTAATAGCTTTTGTACCGTAGCAATTACGTTAAAACAAAGGAATTGTCATTATATCTTGTTAAATCTTAATATAATGAGAAATATATTATTAAGTTACATTTTTGTACTACTACATCATCATTTCATTAAGAAAACCATACGCTGTGGCGTACATATGGGAAGTGATGCGGGTGTTTCCGTGCTCGACAGATGCTTCTTTAAAAGAGGAATTGATAAATAGATAATTTTTAAGTATAGAAGTAATACAAATTTCCATTTTAAGTAAAGGTGGGAATCGAAAATGACGTTAATGAATAAATTTGCATATCATCTGTTTTGCAAACTCGTAGAAAATTACAGTTTTCAGCACACCCGTAACGACTTCCTCTCACATAAATATAATAAATTGATGGTTCAAAATAATACATCTTTCTGTCAGGTACGTTAGTTACATCGGATAATACTTAGAGTATAGTGACAAAGGAGGAAACATAAGCCTCTAAAAGCCTTACCGTGACTGCAATGAATAAAGGTCATTAACTGAACCTCCAATGACTCACCAACGAATACAGTCACACACACAGAGTAAATTGCATTCGATCTCTTACACTTGTTTCATGACGTAGGGTTTTTGTATATATTAAATCGTTCCAGTTTTGTTTTATCCATGTGTAAATTTAATAAAATAAACAAGAATTTCGAATGTTTTTTTAACGTGTACTTAAAAATCAAATTTACCTAGGAAAACTTCAGCAATAATTATACGTTTTTTTGGGCTGAAATTTCCCAAATTATGTCTGATAGATGACTGGTGTGACTCTATTGTTAACAGGTAAAGTATGATTTACAGGGGCATGACACTGAACCTCTTGTATAGTTAATGGGTCCTCCGATCCCTAAGCTTCCCGTATCTGGTCTCGATTTTCATCTATCTGATCATATACAATATACGGGGTGGTTCCTAAGTAGAAGGGCAAACCTCGAGTTGTGATTAATGCCAAGACAAGAAGCGAAAATGTTCCCAATTGTTATTAGTTAATCACGTCACTGCGTAACAATAGAAAAAAAAGACCGGTAAGCTTATAGTAAGTTGTCTGGAATAATCGCCTTTTGCCATATGACGAGTCAATTCCGAATGACACGAAAAAACTATATTAACAGTACAAATTGTACCGGTAACCATGGTTACATTTGGAAAACTGACCAGACAATTTACGACTCGAATACTATCCCTAAATAACGAAGGTTACTATTTGCCTGCATAATTTAAAATTGCAAATTTTAACTTAGACATTCGTTAACTGTAATTATTCGTCTAAAACCGAAACGTACTGTACAGTCGACTCCTCTATAACACTGTTGATAATTTCGTTTTATATGAATTCCATGTTGTACGAGTTACTTAGATTTTTTACAAATACGTGAGCCATTCACAGCCCGGCACATGTATTTGTAAAATGTAAGTGACTCGTACAACATGGTATTCATATAAAACGGAATTATCAACAGTGTTATAGGGAGTCGACTGTACTTGAGGCCTTTCACGAAGATACTGGGATGCTTCAATTCCAAGATTTATAATAGACGTAAGTAGCGGGCATTATAATAAAATCTCGTCTAGGCCTGTTCCTTTAAGGCCTAGGTGCAATTTCGTTATAGTGTAAGTGCGTTTTTTTTTTTTTTCTATTAGAAAGACAATAAAATCGTTAGTTATGCCACTGTTCTTACCGGGATGAGAAATAAAACTTTTGGAGACGTATTAATTTTTTTGAGGCCCCTCTAGACGACGAGGCCCTAGTGAACCTATTGGGTAATCCGCCATTGTTAGAAGTGTATTTCTACAATAAAGTTCTTTCATTCATTGTTTTATTTTTTAAATAACGTCACCTGTCTCTCTGGATGGCAGTTGAAAAAAAAAATCCGAGAAAATCTCGGAAAAACGGAACATCTGGCAACCCCCGTAGTAGATTAATCGACGGAAATGTTTATCAATTAACTGTATTTTTAATAACTTTCGAAGTTTTACTAATTAATTAGAACACAGCTTAAACACTAAGTTCAGCGAAAATAAACGAAAGTCGGCCATTATATATACTGCGCCTTCGGAATATCCCGTGTGAAATCGGCTCATCGTCGAAACACCCGCTTTACCTATGGTGGCCACCTGTTTTCGGTTTTGTTCTTTTGTTCTGGTTTCTACCCGACAAGGATCGATAATCGATATTGTAGCGTGGGTATAGAGTCGGGCGTCGAGCCGCGCTCTCTCTATCGATCTCGCAAATAGGATTAAATGCGAAGCAAACAACTGTCTTCTCCCTGCAAACACGAAAACAGTTTTGATCTTATCGATCGAACACCGGACGACGTCTCTGTCGGCTTACATCCCAACGAATATGGCCGTGAGGACAGTTTCCACTGAAGAAATCGCCAAACAGGTTACAAGTTGTCGGTTCGCAC